CATAACTCTAGACCGGGGATCCCTACTGAACCAAACCATAACTCCAGACCTGTAGGCCCTCTACTTTGTAACCTTAACTCTATGCCAGAGAGCCCTACCCTTTGCAAATGTAACCATAGACCAGTGATCTCTACTGACCCAACCCTAACTTTTGGCCAGGGATCCCTACTGAATGCAACCTTAATCTGAGGTCAGGGGGCCCTACCCTTTGTACCCGCAGCCCTATGACAGACAGCACTACCTTTTGTAATCCTAGCCATAGTCTGCGGCGCCCTACTGAACCCAACACTAATCCTAGGCTGGGGAGCCATACGCTTTCTAACTCTACCCCTATGCGGGGGAACTCTACTGAAACCATCCCTAGCCCTAGTATGAGGCATCCTACTGACCCTAACAGTAACCCTAGGCTGCAGACTCTTTCCATTTGTAACCTTAACTCAGGTAGCCCTAGTGACCCCACCCCTAACCATACATAGGGGAGCTATGCTTACCCCAACCCTAGGCCAAGAAGCCATATCCTCTGTAATCCTAATGCAAAGCCAGTCAGCTCTACTGTAACCTAACCCTAGGCTGGCAAACCCTACTGACCCCAACCCTAACCAGAAAGGGATCCTCTTCTTTATAATCCTAACCCTAGCACAGGAACACCTTCTGACTCAATCCCTAATCCTACAGCACGAAAACCATATTCTTTGTAACCCTAAACCTAGGATGGGGAGCCCTACTGACTTGACTATCTAAGCCTAGGGCTAGTGAGTATTATCCTTTGTAACAGTAACCCTAAACTGGGAATCCCTATTGACCACAACCCTACCCCTAGGATGGGGAGCCCTACTGATACCAACTCTAGCCTTAGGATGGGAAGCCCTACCCTTTGTTACTGTAACTCTAGCCAGGGAACCCTACCCTTTGCAACCCTAACCCTTGGCCGGGAAGCTCTACACTCTTTGTGACTGTAACCCTAGCATGGGGAGCCCTACTGACCCCAATCCTAATCCTAGAGCAGGGAAACCTACAGGGAAACCCCATCCCTAACTCTAGGCTGAGGAGCTATACCCTTTGTAATCCGAACTCTTGCAAAGGGATTAATATACAACAGTTTGCTACCATAAATGGAATTATCCACACAGTTTAGTTTAAAGACAAAACTGGACTGATTTTAATAGAAGAATTCAACAAATTTATTTAAACTACAAAGTAGGGCTGTTGATTAATCAGTTAACTCGTGCAATTAACTCAAAAAATTAATCGCGATTAATAGCGCTGGTAAACAATAGAATACCAATTGAAATTTATTAAATATTTTGGATGTTTTTCTACATTTTAAAATATATTGATTTCTATTACAACACAAATAACTCACTCTATATTACTCTATACTCGCTCACTTTATATTATTTTTATTACAAATATTTGCACTGTAAAAATGATAAACAAAAGAAACATTTTTCATTTCACCTTATACAAGTATTGTAGTGCACTCTCTTTATAATGAAAGGGTAACCTCACAAATGTAGATTTTTTTTTGTTACACAAGTGCACTCAAAAACTAAATGTAAAACTTTAAAGCCTCCAAGTCCACTCAAGTATCATAGGGGTAGCTGTTTTAGTCTGGATCTGTGAAAGCGGCACAGTCCTGTGGCACCTTATAGACTAACAGTCCACTCAGTCCTACTTCTTGTTCAGCCAAACGCTAAGAGAAATAAGTTTGTTTACATTTATGGGAGATACTGCTGCCTATTTCTTATTTACAATGTCACCTGAAAGTGAGAATAGGCATTCGCATGGCATTTTTGTCACCAGCATTGCAAGGTATTTATGTGCTAGATGCGCTAAAGACTCGTATGTCCTTTCATGCTTCGGCCACCATTCCAGAGGACATGCTTCCATGCTGATGATGGTCGTTAAAAAAATAATGCGTTCATTAAATTTGTGACTGGGCGTTAATTGTATGTCTGTTTTATCCACATTCTGCCACACATTTTATGTTATAGCAGTCTCGGATGATGACCCAGCACTCGTTGCTTTTTAAGAACATTTTCACAACAGACTTGACAAAACACAAAGAAGGTACCAATGTGAGATTTCTATAAATAGCTAGAGCATTTGACCCAAGATTTAAGAATCTGAAGCGCCGTCCCAAATCTGAGAGGGATGAGGTGTGGAGCACGCTTTCAGAAGTCTTAAAAGAGCAACACTGAGATGCAGAAACTACAGAACCTGAACCACCAAAAAAGAAAATCTACTTTCTGCTGGTGGCATCTGATTCAGACGATGAAAATGAACGTGTCGGTCCACTCTGCTTTGGATCGTTATTGAGCAGAACCCATCATCAGCATGGACGCATGTCCTCTGGAATGGCGGTTGAAGCATTAAGGGACATATGAATCTTTAGTGCATCTGGCATGTAAATATCTTGCGACACCCGCGGCCTGTTCTCACTTTCAGGTGACATTGTAAACAAGAAGCAGGCAGCATTATCTCCTGCAAATTGTCACCAAACTTATTTGTCTGAGCAATTGGCTAACAAGAAGTAGGACTGAGTGGACTTGTAGGCTCTAAAGTTTTACATTGTTTTATTTTTGAATGCAGGATTTTTTTTTGTACATAATTCTACATTTGTAAGTTCAACTTCCATGATAAAGAGATTGCACTGTATTAGATGAATTGAAAACTATTTTGTTTTTTTACAGTGCAAATATTTGTAATAAAAATATAAAGTGAGCACTGTAAACTTTGTATTCTGTGTTGTAATTGAAATCAATATATTTGAAAATGTAGAAAACATCAACAAATATTTAAATAAATGGTATTCTATTAACAGCACGATTAATTTTTTTCATCGCTTGACAGCCCTACTACAAAGAGATTGATTTTAAGTGAGTACAAATGTATGGCATTAAAATCAGAAATGGTTACAAAAGAAATATAAAACACTTCCTAGGACTAAAACTTAACAAGATAGACTTGGTTCAAGATAAAATTCTTACCACATGGTCCCAGCAACAAAGGTGACCAGATTTCAGGTCAGGATCTCTCCCAAAGTCAAATGGGCTGGTTTCTTTTGTCTTCTCACATGAAGGAGCAAGAGACGAATAGGATGAGAGAACTTGGTGTCCCACCCCTCACTTTTTTTAGTTCAGTCCCCTTTTGAAATCCATTTTCCAGAGGGTTACTCAAGGCCATCCCTAGCTATTCTGGGGCCCTACGCAGCCCCCCCCGCAGGGGGGACGGGGCTGGCTTGAGGGGCAGGTGGGAACCACCGGCAGCACAGTTAGGGCCAGGTCGCTGGTGAGTGCAGGCCGGTGAGTGCTTCCTGTCACCGGTGAGTGCAGGCCTGGCCCTGCTTCAGTCCTCAGGGGAGTGGGGGCAGGGATGGAGCGGGAAAGGGGCTGGAGCAGCACGCAACTGCGCAGGGCAGCAGGAAATTGTGCCCTACGCAGCCGCGTACTTTGTGTATAGGTAGGGACAGCCCTGGGGTTACCCCTAGATAAAGTTCATTCCCACTGTGAGTCTGGAGTCAAGGAGTCTGGTGGTGAAAGAACTGCTGGTGGCTGTTTGCTAAAATGCAGATATGTTTGCTCCTGCCCCACTCCCCTTCCTTGCCAAAGGATGGCAACTTGATAGGTGATGGCCCATCAGCTTTGATGACACCTGGCCAGAGCTGTCAGCTTGTCCTTTGTCTTTGAGGAACAAGTTTACCCACTCCCAGACTTATCTGGTAAACACACTTCAGTCATGACTTCAGCTTATGTTTAAACTTTACATATAATGTTGCTACACAAATTTCTCTGTGATATTACTGACCAGTGAATTATTAATTTTCAAATGATACCTCACAAGTCATATTTTGTACAATGGTGCATAGGCTGTGAATACAGGGGTGCATTCCGTCAGACTCATCCCCATGGTCATCCCCCCCGAGGGGTTGGAAGACAGGACTCCAAATCACATCCCATAAACCTCATGTCTCAATCGCATGGAAGTAATACTTCATACAAGAGGCAATAGCCAGTAGGCAATAGGCAGTACTCCCCTTCGATCTCAGGAATCACAAACTGCAACTAGACAGTCCTTGTAGGGATTTCAACTTACAAGTTCAGTTACTGGCTCAGATAAAATGTTCTTTGTGGAATTTCCCCACAAGGCTTTCCCCACAGATTCAATATTACCATTTCCACCACTGGCAAGCTTAAAATAATAAACTTCTTACCAACTGGCCACCTACTTAAAAAAAACCATAGGAATTTATGCCTTAATTTAGAACCCAACCCTAATTATGAAGCCTCCATAATTCTACATTAGAAGAATATAGAGAGGACTGAACCAAGATCAGATGTCCACAAGGAGAAAGATACTATTATCCCCACTTTACAGCTAGGCAGCTGAGGAACAGAGAGAGAGAAAGTGTCTTGCCCAGGGTTACATGGAGACTGTGACAGAGCCAGAGAATTGAACCTAGAGTTCTTGAGTCCCAGTCAAAGGCCTTGGCCACAAGGCTAGATTTTGCTCATTGAGGGTATGTATTCACTGAAATTAAAACCTGCCACTGGCCCATGCCAGCTAACCTGGGGCTCAGGCTAAGGGATTATGGTGTTGATATTCAGGCTTGTGCTGCAGCTCAAGCTCTGGGACCCTCCCACCTTGCAGGATCCTAGCACCCAGGCTCCAGCCTGAGCATCGACACCATTTAAACAGCCCTTTAGCCCATGCCTTGAAAGCTGGAGTCAGTGGCAGAGGCCAGCCACCGGTTTTTAATTGCAGTATAGACATATCCTGAAATTCCTCCTGCAGATCATAACACAGGAGTAGCTTTTCTGTGGGAACAGAGCCATGCTAGATAAGAGAGGAGGAAGATGATTCTACATATCCACATGAAAAAACCCAATGGTTTAAGTAATAAAAACTAGAGACACCTCTTTTGCACCAGCTAGCTTAGCCAGTCAGAACAGGGGCTTAGCTAAGCTAATGAGGCCTGAGAGAATAAAGCAAGAACCAAATATTTTAATCCATTTTATTTATTTTTCACTCTAAACTGATGAAGCTTGAAGAAACCAAGCTGTTTGGATGAGATGAATAGATGCCGCCACTGGTTTTTTGGACATCTCTATGATTTTTTCTACCTATAGTCATAGATTACAAAAACAGAAGAATCTGATTATTATCTGGAGTGTCATAGAAAAGGAAGAGTTTGCACCAAGAAGAAAAGTCACGATTCCATTAGTTTTTTGGCTGCCATATTACAGGTCTGTTTGCAAGCACCAGAAATTCACAACCTTTCAACGGAGCGTGACCAGCTCTTCTGATGAAGTCGGGTGAATGGCAACCGTCTCATCGAAGCTGGCCTTTGTTGCTCCCATTTTGACTGCTACAGCGAAACCTTGCAGCATTTCGTCGCATCCTAGTCCCTGCATGTGTAGTCCCACCACCTTCAAACAATAAGAAATTTAATTTACTAAAGATGAGCATGTAATGACAGTCATCAGTGCACCAGTCAGAGAATCTTCATCACCCTGATCACTCATTGGCACAGAGGAAAGCTACTGCTGTCCCAGTCAACAGCCTTTCAAATAACAAATCTACAGATGATTAGACGTTCAAAAATTGTGTTAGTGAAGAGTTAAGGTTGCCCAGTGCTGTTTCCAGCCTGTGGAAAGCAGCTTGCTTCAGAATGTTGAAAGTGGCTAAATGTAAACCTCTGAAAACCAGGAAATACAAAAAGTTAAGGTCCCCTTCATCCCCACAACACAACCTTAACTCTGTGCCCCTACTGCTGGCAAAACCACTGGGAACGGGTCAGGATGGATATGGCAAAGGTTAAACCACCAGGGAAGTAGAGGGTTCTCCATCTCTTGAAATGTTCAAATCAAGATTGGATACCTGTCTCAAAGATGCTTTAGTCAAACACATATTAGGCCCAATACAGGTATAACTGGATGAAATTCTGTGGCCTGTGTTATACATGAGGTCAGACTAGATGGGCATAATGGACCCCTCCAGCCTTAAATTCTATAAGTAGATACGATGAAGGATTAAGACTGTGCCATTGTTTGGGGCAGCATCACTTTCCCCATAACCTCAGCCATGCTGAACACAACGCCATCAGCCGCCTCAGGAACAACTCTGACATCATAATCAAAAAGGCTGACAAAAGAGGTGCTGTCATCATCATGAGTAAGTTTGAATATGAAGGCAGCTCTCTAACTCCACATTCTACAGGCCATTATCCTCTGATCCCACTGAGGATTACCAAAAGAAACTACACCATCTGCTCAAGAAACTCCAACTAAAACCTCTCCAGTGCATCATCAAAGATCTACAGCCTATCCTGAAAAATGATCCCTCACTCTCAGATCTTGGGAGACAGGCCAGTCCTTGCTTACAGACAGCCCCCCAACCTGAAGCAAATACTCACCAGCAACCACACGCCACACAATAAAAACACTAACCCAGGAACCTATCCTTGCAACAAAGCCCGTTGCCAACTGTGTCCACATATCTATTCAGGGGACACCATCATAGGACCTAGTCACATCAGCCACACTATCAGAGGCTCATTCACCTGCACATCTACCAATGTGATATATGCCATCATGTGCCAGCAATGCCCCTCTGCCACGTACATTGGCCAAACCGGACAGTCTCTACGTAAAAGAATAAATGGACACAAATCAGACATCAAGAATTATAACATTCAAAAACCAGTCGGAGAACACTTCAATCTCTCTGGTCACTTGATTACAGACCTAGAAGTCGCAATATTACAACAAAAAAACTTCAAAAACAGACTCCGAGAGACTGTTGAATTGGAATTAATGTGCAAACTGGACACCATTAAATTAGGCTTGAATAAAGACTGGAGCGGATGTGTCATTACACAAAGTAAAACTATTTCCCCATGTTTTTTCCCCCCTGCTGTTCCTCACACGTTCTTGTCAACTGCTGGAAATGGCCGATCTTGATCATCACTACAAAAAAAATTTTTTTCCCCCTCCTCGCCTGCCAGTAATAGCTCACCTTAACTGATCACTCTCGTTATAGTGTGTATGGTAACACCCATTGTTTCATATTCTCTGTGTATATAAAAGCGTCCTACTGTATTATCCACTGCATACATCCGATGAAGTGGGCTGTAGTCCACGAAAGCTTATGCTCAAATAAATTTGTTAGTCTCTAAAGGTGCCACAAGTACTCCTGTTCTTTTTACAAATATTACAGAAAATTTTCCACTTTTCAGTTTGACTTTGCAATTTGAATAATGTTTTTAACATGTTTGTATGTAATATTTAATGTAAAGTATTCTTTTTAGAAAGGCAATTTATGTCTATGAACAAAAACACTAATGGAAGAGCTGGAATTAAATATGCAAAGTCAGTTCTTTTACCTTTAGCTAAATAAACTTGGATAACAGCAGAATACAAGCTGCTGCATTATCCTGAACATTTTAGCTATGAGTTCTTATTTCGTTTTGCTCACCTTCTCTTCTTTGCCAGCACAAACCAGTTTCATGACACACTTAGTTTTCCTTTGAGTTACAGCGTGATACATGGGGGTAAAAGAGGTGGTGTAGACCTTCACATTCTCTCTTCCATATGTAGAAATGGCTTCCTCTGAAATACACGAGAGACATTAGACTCCACAAAACAAAACTGTTACATGGGCTGCAGGGACTAATGGCTAGTCTACACTGCCGCAGCACAGCAGCCAATGGTAGCTGTGGAGTCGGCACTGGGGCAGCAGGGACGCGCTGGCTGCTTCTGGGAGTGGCACAGAGCCAGCCTTAGCCCCCCTGCATCTAAAAATCTCCCAGTTTGGCTTCAGTAGCCTCCAGAAGATCGAGCCCGATTCTGGGAGACTCTCGACGAAATCAGGAGGGTTGGCAACCCTACCACCTTCAAAATGGTGGTCATAACCCTTTGCTATAAATGGGACTGAAGCACCAGATGGCTTCAGTTGGTGGCCATTTTGAGAAGGAAGTCTCTCTCTGTTCTCAGTGGGACTGAGTGTGTCTGCCTGCTCATAGCCTAGATTCCAGGCCCACCCCCTCTCCTGAAGGCAGCTGTGGCATCAGTCCTACTGAGAACAATGGAAGATGATGGCCATCTTGAAAAGGGTTAGTTCTTCATGACAGTTAAGCTTTCAATTATGAAAAACAGCAAAAACAGACCTCTAATCCTAAATATATTCAAAAACTACCCACTGCGTCAGATCTACTCAGATAAACCACGATTGAGGGAGAAACAGGGAGGTGCCAGAGGCAGGAGTAGAGGGGCCAGACGCAGAGGAATGTGAGAGTGGTGAAAGGTTGTGTGTGTGAAAGGGAAATCTAGGGAGGCTGGGGGAACTGCAACCTACAATCCACCTCCTTTGCACAGCTCTGGCAAAACAAAGGAGCTGTAAATCCAGTTTATCTAGCCTGTAAATCTGGCAGATTTGTGCTGTTCTTGAGTAGGATAAAGGGTACCGGTGAACCTAGCCATTTAAGTTAAAAAAATTTAAAAGTGATTTAAAGATTGATACTTCATCCTTTCATATCATTAGAAATGTCCCAGAGTAACATTCCTGTGAACTGTTCTTGTATGAAATTTTTCAGTTAAGACTCCAAACAAGGAAATTCCCAGACAAAAATCTACAATGAGATGGAGTTACGGTTGAGAGTACATCTGGGTAATTTAGGGTAAACTACTTTACCAGAGATATTGTACTTCACCCTAAGCACCCCTGTATTCACACCCTACACTCTATTGCAAAATGTTGCTGTACAACATATACCTTGTAAGGTATCTGAAAATAGCACACTGGTCATTAATACCATTGTAAAATGCATGTGTTAACTTTATATGTGAAGCTATGAATTCCTCTGTATAAAGTTACTAGAACAGGTTTAAGAAGACAGCCTTGCTTAGGCAAAGGTGATACACAGATCTGCCCTAGACAAAGGAATGTGGTTTACCTCAGTTTACATATTAGCTGTAAACAAAGCTATCAAGCAAACCAGCAGGGGTTGTCTTGAGCCTGAACTCAAGTGACAGAGAATTATCATAGCTCCTTGTACGCCAGTGAAACACAGGAGACTAGTCCCCAGGAGGCCTTCCTAACTTTGAAAACAAAGACAATTCTTTGGGAATACAAGGAAGAGAGAGAGACTCCAATTGGATCTTTCATCTAACACCACATAGGAAACCAACATCTTGTACTTCTGTGGAAGGTCCTCCTGACTGAGAGACAGTCAGCCATGCTGGACCAAGCGTAATGGGTGAGTGAAACCATCTTAAACAGAGACTGTGCCTTGCTAGATAAGTTTTAGACTTTTAGATGCATATTTTCATTTTCATTTGCTTGCAACTCTCTATCTTTATTTCTTTTACTTGGCATCACATAACTTACGTCCTGTTAATGAACTTATTTTAATCTAAACCAACCCAGTGCTGTGTCTGAAGTAATTGTTAACTCTAGTTAATGTGGCAAGCTGCTGGGTACTGTCTCTTTAAAGGAGCAAAGAAACCTTATTATTTATCGGAGTGGTTCAGGAGAGGGCTGAACACTTCAAGGCAGATGGTTCTGGGGAAATTTGGGACTGGAAGTGTACTGAGGTCACCTTGCCAGGTATAACTACAGCTGGTGGAAACCAAGGTGAGGCTGTTGTGTTGTGGCAGGCTGCTGGGGTCAGAAGCACTGAACACAGGCTGCACTGCACACAGACACTCAGGGTACCCCATGTGTGTCTGCTGACTTCTGTTGTGTCCTGGACACAAACAGAGCATTTAAGGCATCACCCATGGTTCAGTGCAGGGGGTGACAACTCCTTACTGGTCTGGACTGCAATCCAAAATGTGACCATAACTATTCCAAAACCAAGCAGTCTGAACCCAGGAAGTCACAGTTAAACTTACAAACAAACAAAACCAAACATGTTAAGGACAGAAATGTAGTTAAGGACACCCAAACAACCATAACCCTGCTCTGTCAGACTCATCCAGCATCCCATGTGATTAAAACTCACTGAAATCTTGTGTACAGGCTACATCTGAAGATTAATAGTCTTGTCCCCCATACCTTAGAAGTTTTTCTTTCAGCAGAAACCTTAACTCTGCCCTGTAGTGACATCATGCAAAAGCCATTCAGCTATGATTAAGGCACTTTAGCGTTTGTGGACCTAGATGAAATTAAACTGATTCTGAAATAATATTAGATTTGTAATAACCCCGATGGGTTATTGTTATTACCAGGCAGACTTAAGGTTGTTTGGGTGCCCTAACTATATTTTAATACCTAAGGTTAAACGTAAAAAGAAATTCAAAACAGGCTTATCAATTAATTTCCTGGTTTGGGGATAGGTACACTGTAGTTTCTCTTACATTACTGATAGGCACTCTCAATGTGTTTTTTGTTTGGAAATATAAGTTATAAGTCAGCCTGACAGATATTAGGTAAGGACAAATGAACCCCAACTGTTCAATAACAATTCCTTCCTAAGGGACATAATAATAAATATCCATCTCTTACACTGGGCTTAGCATGTTCAAAGCACTTTACAAACATTAACTGATCAACAGGGTGGATAAAAATCAAAGATTTAAATGATTAAAAAAAAAGCAAAAAAAGCTGGATTTAAATCAGATTTTTTAAAAATTGAATACAGGCTTATTTTTTTTTAAAATAAACCTATTGAAAATTAAATTTGAAATTATAACCATGTATTAAGGCCTAACTTATTTTTATATTTATTTTAAATTATTTTCATAGATTATAATATTAAGCAGTACATGTTTGCTGCCATGTTTTAAAGAAAGCCAAGCCACCGTACTGATGGAAATCACTAGCTAAGCACCTGGAACCAAAGTTTGTTGAAGTGCTAAACCATCTTTTGATAGCAGTAACTCCTTCTGCAGGTTCATAGAGAATATTTTCTTCTGTCAGTTTATTTAACTAGTTCAGTTGATGACTAGTTCATTCAAAGTTAAGAAACCAACTGAAAGTTGAAAAGAAGGAAAGCTTGTTTCCCCTTCCATTCTATGAATATCAACTAAGTGTGAGGGGATGAGATCTATTAGTTCAAAAATGATGAAAGACATGGTGATCAATCAGTTCAATCAAACTACAGAATACTTTTTGTTTAATAAATCAGTTAAAAGTTTTAAATGCAAAATTTGTTTGAATAAACTTTTTTTTCCTCTTATGTATCAGCACATTTAAGGTAGTTTTGTATAATAAAATTAAAATATTGGTTTTGTACATTTTAATTGACTTTCCACACATACAGTTTTGACACAAATTACAAGTAAAAAATTAAGTTATATTGTTTAATTAAATATGTATAGATCTAGCATACCGTCCTGGTTAGCAAAAAGCAGCACCAAATTGGTCCAGTGAAGGCAATGGGAGGATTCAATGGCAGTTGGGTTAGGCCCATAGTGAGACATAAATCCAGACTAAAACTCCTGCATCACCACATGCGTCCATCCCAGACTTTCAGGACCTACCTGCAGGGCTGAATATAGTCTCTCATCCATTCTTTTCTTGGCCTTTTTGCTGAAACTGCTTTAAGTGTCAGTACCAGACTGCAATAGGGGATTAAGTGATTCACATGTCCACTAGCTGAGTTGAGGCCCCAGGTACTTGTTCCAGAGGGGCCACACAGCCTTTCAAAGAGGAAGTGACTTCTCTTCACTACACACCTAGCCTCAGTATGAACATGGTACTTACAGGTGAAAGGCACCATGTCCTGTTACTGTCCTCCTCCCCTAAACTGAATTATAAGACAACACGATTCAGTCATTTGTCATGGCTATCATTACTGAAACACAGAACATTAATAAGGAGACACCAAAGCAGTGTTTTCACTTGGACCCTACCTTCCGTGAGTCCCACCGTTCCGATTGGGGGATGGCTGAAGACCACAGTAGGAATGTTGCTGTAGTCGAGTTTGGAATCCTGCTTGCCTTCAAACAGTCTGTGTGCCAGTTTCCTTCCAGCTGCTATTGCAACTGTAAGTATGGAAATAGGAATTCATGCTTACACCATCTAACACAGGCTAACACTAGACAGGTATCCTGTATCTAATTAGTGGCCTGTACTGGATGCTTCAGTGCAGGATCCAACCTTACATTTATGGACTGTAGAGGACAAAAACACGAGAAGGTTGCAACTGATGGGTAACATTTTCAAAATCACTCATCACTTAGGGGCCTAAGCCTCACTGAAAGCCATTTAATGACTTGTCATGACTTTCAGTGAGATTTTGGCTGCTACGCAGCTAATTTACTTTTGAAAATGCCTGGTCTACTCCTAAGTTATACCTGCAGAGCTACACTGGTGTGCTGCTATAAGCCCTAGTGTAGACGAAGTTATACTAGCATAATTGTTTATGGCAATATAGCTTATGTTGGTTTGGGGACACAGCAACTATCCGGAAATAACCAAGCCCACACATGGAGGATTTTGCCAATATAGCTATACAAGGAAAACCCTCCTAGTGTAGATGAGGCCACAGGTGCTTTTGAAAATTTCCCCCTTAAACTCTGCAAATTCAGGATTAATCTCATCCATGGCTGAGAGGCTCAATGTTTGAACCAGTGTGCCTCTGTGAAAAGCATTGTTTTTCTGCTTTGGAACTTTGCCATAGGAAGTCATTGTGGGAGTCATCAGCGTATGGATCATGTTCCTCTTTTGATGTGTGATGCAACAGCTAGTATTACACCCACTTGGCACAAATAAAACTGAATAAGCAAGGCCAGGGTGCGGCTTCATCACCACTTTCAACAAGAAAATAATTCCTTTCCCAATTGCTCCGCAAATTTCTATATCCAGCACCTACATCTTTTGTTTTTTATGCTTGACAACAAATTGAGTTTTCCAGCACTCAGATACTATCAGCACCCGCATAAGGACACCACCCTGAATCATGGGAAACTGTATTTGAGTGGTCCCTATTCTCTATGGGCTCTGACCTGGTTTTTTTTTCCCCCATGCATGCTGCACTCCTCTTCCCCATATCCCAGTCCATGTAGTAGTGATCATAGGTCATTTTACACCAACTCTGTGCACACACATCCTTACCACTTTGCACACACCTTCAGCTAGCTCTGGGCAAGTGATAGCTCCTGGGAGAGGAAGTATCAGCTCCCTCCACTGACAGCTGGAGGGGCAGAGTGGAGAGGAGACACAAACCCTGCACCACCATGGCCTTGAGTAGAAAGCGGCAGCATGAGGGACTGTGCAGAAATAACTTGGCAGGAGCAAAGGGAGGATCAGTCAGCCAAAAAAAATATGGTGTATGTTTGCGAGTTAAGCTATGTTAATGCACAAACATTAACTTCAACATGACATTAATGAGTGTGAAGGCTGGATAATAAGGACACCAGATGGAGCGGGCAGCCTGCTGAACCATGCCACATTCAAAACAAGGCCACAGAACACACACACACACACAGCCAAAATATCTTACACAGACGATACAGGACAAGGGCCTTTGGTGTCTTATCTGGTCCTAAAACTGTTAGTGTGCTGCATGCATGAGCTGACATGCACCTTGACCACCTCTGCCAACTGGCATGTCAGGTGGGTTGCCAAAAATCACACACACAGTGTAGAGGAATTATAGCACCAGCCTCTGAAAATGTTGGAAGGAGTTGAGCAGCAGGGGCAAGAAGAATAGATTCTTCCTTACCCGCCCCCACACTTTAAGCAGGGGGAAGGAGAGGAGTTTCAATTGTTTTTAAATGGGCTTGGAAGTGTCACTGAAATCAATTTGTGTGTTTCTCTTTGCCACCATTGGGCTCTCTGGGGACTTGTGCTCCTAAGTCACGTAGGCAGTTTTGAAAATCTCACTAACTTTTGGCATCTATTTTTGAAAATGTTGCCCCTAGTGGCTAAATGTAGGTAAGTGAGCATTACCATCACAGGTATGGGATCCCCTACCCTAGGCAGCAGTACAGCGCAACGCAACAAAGGCCTATTACCTGGGGTCAGGAGTGCTTTTCCACATACATCCCCGACAGCGTAGATCCCTTTCCTGCTGGTGTTCTGGAACTCATCAACTACAATGTGACCTTTAGCATCTAACTTAAGACCCTAATATTGGAAACAGCAACCATGTTAATATACACACTATGGATTATGGGGGGAAAAATGACAGACTCTAGGAACATTTCATAGTATCATACCCTATTCAAAGTGACATTTACATTCCTATGAGATATGAAGCCTAACTGTGCAATATGAAGTTTAAAAATAAACATAGGAAAAATTTCACATATTTACCTTAATTTTTTGCATAGTTTCTAAAGGCCCAACCAGTGTAACAGTGGTGCTAACAATAGTTTGGTCTCCTACCCTCTGCAGCAGTTACATCATTTTCAACTCCAGCCCAGGAGAACAATGATTCAAGGACAAGAGTTATTTTATAATGCAGTGTCATCATTCATAGATGATTTGGCTATCAAAGGCACTGAGTTACCCCTGCCCCAATTCATCTATCAGGTCTCCAATCAGTGCTGGAAGATACAATTAAAAACTTCCTCATACTTAAATATTTGTGGGTTTGTTTTCATACTACCCTCTTTAGCCTAGGGCTTTTCAAGTGTAGAGTATTATATGGGATTATATTATAACCATGGCCGTGGTCCTCCCCTAAACTCCATGTAGATACAGGGCTCTGTTCCTGCAAAGGTAAGTCATGGAAGAACTGGGGCCACATAAGCAAGGAGTTAATACAATGTGCATTTTCATAATTACTAGGATATAAAATCTGTCTGTCTCACCAGTTTGTCTAGATTAAGACCCTCAGTGTTTGGATCTCGTCCAATGGCCCACAGCAGACAGTCAACATCCGGGATTGTGCTAACTGTGGGTTTGTGACCAGGCGCAGAGGATATCACCGTAACCTCCAACAATCCAAGAGGAGATTTTGTAACCGATTTGACCTATTGGTAACCACAAATACAGATTAAGCTTAAAAGATTAAAAGTGGAATTTTTGGGGTGAGTCACTGTCACCAAAACCATCTTAAAGTGAACATGAAAGATCAAATCCAGCTGTTTATAACTGGAGCACACACCAAATGCCATGCCAATAATTACAAAATTTGTTTGTGGTTTTGCAACAAAATGTAAAGAGAGACTTGTAGTTAATGTGCCAAATCGCACATGGTAACAGACTTTGAGCTGAGTATGAGGTGTTTGTAGGCCATGCTTAGAGGATTGGGGACTCTATCCTGAGAATTAGTGACTCGGAAAAAGATTTGGGGGTTGTCATGGATAATCAGCTGAACATGAGCTGCCAGTGTGACACTGTGGCCAAGACAGCTAATGTGATCCTTGGATGCATAAATTGGAGAATCTCAAGTAACAGAACAGAGGTTACTTTACCTCTATTTGGCATTGATGCAACTGCTGCTGGCATACTATGTCCAGTTCTGGTGTCCATAATTCAAGAAGGATGTTAAATTGGAGAGGGGTCAGAAGAGTCAGAAGAATGATTAGAAGATTAGAAAACATGCCTTTTAGTGATTGAGCTCCAGGAGCTCAGTCTATTTAGTTAACAAAGAGAAAGTATGAGATGACTTGGTTACAGTCTGTAAATACCTACATGGGGAACAAATATTTAATAATGGGTTCTTCAGTCTAGAAGAGAAAAGTATAAACACAATCCAATGGCTGGAAGTTGAAGCTAGACAAAATCAGACTGGAAATACAGCATAAATTTTTAACAGCGAGAGTATTTAGCCACTGGAACAACTTAACAAGGGTTGTGGCAGATTCCCCATCAGTGGCAATTTTTAAAATCAAGATTGGATGTTTTTTCAAAAGATCTGCTCTAGGAGTTTTGGGGAAGCTCTATGACCTGTGATATACAAGAGGTCAGACTAGACTATCACAATGGTCCCTTCTGGCCTTGGAATCTATGATGTACCACAGTGCGTAGGAGCCCCAGTCTTGAACTAGAACCCCACTTTGGTAGGCACTGTATGAACAGAACAAAAAGACAATCCCCGCCCCAGGCAATTTACAATCGAAGGAGCTCAGGACCATGGAAAGGCAAGTCTATCATGGCATGGCTTTCCTTCAATGGTCTCTGCGTAGCTACGTCTGCGGCAGCTGAGCAGACAGCCATATTAGATGTGTCCACTCTGTTTTACAGTCATTCAGGAATTTGTCAAGGAGCTGATAGCCAGTGCCAAGGGAGAGTTATGCCTGCCTGGTGAGTAAGACCAGGTAGCCTGCAACCCTCATGTGTGAGGTTGCAGAGAAGTAGGCCTCCCTGCCAAGCAGTCCAATCCCTACACATCTCCCTCGTGGGGCACAGATCATGGTTAAGGCTACGATTTTTTCACCGAGGTCACGAAAGTCACAGAATCTGTAACTTCCAGCGACCTCCGTGAATTCAGCCCTGTTGGCCAGGAGCTGCAGGTTCCTGAGGTCAGGGGCCCCCCAGAGTTCCCAGCCACCATGGGTGGTTGGGCCGCAGCTCCTGGCCACCATGGGCAGTGGGGCCCTGGAGGTCCGAGCCGCCATGTGCAGTAGGTCTCCAGAGTTCCGAGCCACTGCGGGCATCGGGGTCCTTCAAAGGTCCCGGCTGCCGCGAGTGGCAGGAGTACCCCGGAGCTCCGAGCCCGCACAGGCGGTGGGAGCCACCCCCGCAGCTTCCCAACCTCTGCAGGCAGTGTGTGGACCCCGCAGCTGGGCTCCCCATTTTGTCAGCAATATTTTTAGTAAAAGTCAGGGACAGGTCACAGGCTTCTGTAAATTCTTCTTTATTGCCCGTGACCTGTGACTTTTACTAAAAATATCCATGACAAAATCTTAGCCTTAATCATGGTGCACCTAGATGTTCCAATTTCTCACTGACTTCTGGAACAAGGTAAGCAGGGGTGGGGGAGAGGTGAAGTAAAGATACAGTCAATCCCCTTCTGAGGGGCTCAGTAGCATCCACCCGTCCTCCTACACACTGGTCCACAACTGGTTCCAGGGAACCCTCGTTGGCTGCTGTGGTCAGTCTCCCCAGTTGTGGTGGTTTGAAAGTACGTGGAACTTCTCCTGCACTGCTGCCAGCATGGCAGAGGGTCTCTTACCCTGTACAGGAGATCCTTGAAAGTCAGCAGGGCACAGTGGTGCTTTGAGTCACCGCTTGGTCTGGTGAGAGGGAGGAGGAGGACGACGACACATGACAGGGCCAGGAGGATCATCATATGGTGGCTTATTTAGACCTTCCTCTCCATCTCACAACCTGGTTCTTCTCCAAGGCAACCTACGGCCTGGTCTGGTTTGTCATGCTGAGATTGGGAGCCCACACTGCCCAAGAGGGGGCAATTCCATAGAGGCCCAGGGAGCCACCTGGTATCTGCAGTCGGTGAGTGCTTATTGCGTTGGGAGACTCCAGGGTGGCTCTCGCCCACACCACTGGAGAAAATGAGGACCCCAAAGTCTGTCTCTTCTGTCTTGGGGTGCTGGGGATAGATTTGGCTCCAAGACAACTCAAGGAGGAGAGAAGCTCTAATGTTTGGCCCTGAGGCAGGAAAGTGATGCCTTGGAACAGCACACGGCCAACGGGGCAGAAACACGAAACAGTGTTGCAGTGTGATAAACCGCTAATAGGTAAGAACAACAAAAGCTAAAGAGCAGGACTTTTCCCTCAGAACGAGCCACTATAGGGGCAGATGGACTCTGCTAAGTTCCCATTCACTGACATTAAATGGTAAGAGGGAACTGAGAAGGACAGGGGCCACACTGCCCTATATGCCCTTTGGTGTAAAGACAAGAGGGCATGTAGGGCACAGACATGGCTCCACTGGTTGGTTCCAGACCTGCAGGCACAAGGCACATGTGCACCATCCATAAGGTTCACCCAGATGATAGCCAAAGAACTGCCTTTTCATCGTGTGTTCCCCTTCCCCCATCTACTTCTTAACAATGTTCCAGAGACAAGAGCTGCTGTGGAATTACATATCAGAAAATGAAATATAGCTCCACACAGGGCATTTACAAAGCATTGATATAGGAGTGATAAACTAGCAATATAGTAATCAGATATGAATATCTCACTATGGCCATGATCAGATGCTGTAACAGTGCTGAGGAAAATTAGGACATTTTAAGCAAAAATGAAATAAAAAAGGATCAAGTTATGGGTCCATAGGAGAGACTCAGACCTAAATAATGAAGTGTGTGGGTAATACTGTACCAGTGAATGCTTCCAGAAATCTATGCCAGCATTCTCCAGTTCCTGAGTGCAGTTTGCACTGATCATTGAATCAAAAGTCCTTAACACCTGCATGGAAATCCATACAATCCATCAAGATTACATGCAATTTACTATGTTCCCATCTAAATGCTACTTTCACATCACCTCTAATTTGTACCTATTCTTTTCTTGTCCTGTTGCAATCAAACAAAAGTTATGAATTGTGTGAGTATGCCAATAGTTCTGTAACCACATGGTAATAAGGGCAAACTACTTTAGCGAAAAAATGGTAACTAACCTTATATAACTACTGCTCTTTGAGAGGTGTTGCACATGTCCATTCCACCCTTGGTGTATGTGTGGGCACGCAGTTGCCAGAAATTTTCCCCTCAGTGGTACCTGTTAGGGTGGCAAAAGCACTCTTTGCTGGTGCTGGTATGAAGGGCCAGCAGACCGTGAGCCCCTTCAGTTTCTTCTTTCTGGAAACGCTGAAGAAGAAGGGTTGGAGGGGGGTCATGGAACAGACATGTGCAATGGATCTCGAAGAACAACAATTACAAAAGGTTAGTAGCTGTTTCTCTTCTTTGAGTGATTGCACATGTCCATGCCACTCTTGGTGACTCCCAAGTAGTTAGACACAGGGATCAGAGTCCATGCACACACAGAATGTAGTACAGCTCGAGAAAATTTGGCATCATCTCATCAGTATTGGCTGATGGGGTAGTGGGAGGAGAAAGTGCACACCAATGACCAGGTAGCTGCTTTACAAACATCCAGAATAGGGCCCTTTTTGAAGTTGGGGGAAAGGATGCAGGGGTCTGCCACAGCCCATTAACTGGATCCACAATGCCCTCACTGAGAGGCAGGGCTAAAATATTGACCAGATGGTGAGAGGATTCTTTAACTTCCTCTACCTGTATGCCCAGACTTAAGGCCACCCTACAACAATTCTTGGCGTGCCTTATAGTCATCTGGTACAGGCAACCTGCCCACTCCTGAGACTGCATCATCATCAGGGGAGGAGGAAGAGGACCCCAGAACTGGCTGCAGATGCTCTTCTTCCATTTCTTGATCTCTAGGGTCTTGTTGAGCTGGCACTTGATGTCCTGTATTGGGCGTGGTACCAGAGTCAGGAATGGGTGCTGTCTAGTGGGTAGGTGCCACATGCCTCTCTGATGCCAGGGAAACCAGGGAAAGCCCCCTCGGATTCCAAAGATGCCACTTGTCAGGCATAGGCCCCCAGTGACCTCCTGGCCAACCACTCGATGGTACTCCTGTGACCGGCTCCATGGAAGGGTAGAAACATCTGGAGGAGGGACAGCAGATGTGGCTCAAAGGATGGGAAATACAGGACCCAACTCTTGATTCACAAGACGACAACTCTCCTTCCCCTGACCATGGGCACACAGTTCTAGACAGACCCGGTGATCGATGCCAAGGTGCAGAGGCCCACAGAGAAGCAAACATTGCAAGTTTTCCCTTTGACCATACCAAAGGGCAAGCTGTCAGTGGTACACGAAGCTGGCATGGCACTGAGCATTGTAACAATCCTGCTGGTTCTCCTGTGTCTGCTGGCACTGATAGGATCGACTCTTGTACTGTTGGCAATACTGGCATTGACATGGTCAGGAGGACCCTGGCAGCTGCAAATGCCTCTGGTGTGGTCAGTACTGAGACAGTGTCGGGTCAGTGTGGTGCCACAGATGTGGAGGGAGCTCCTTCTGGTTCTGGACTCGACGGAACCTGCCTCGGCACCAGTCAACGGTGCCATCTTCTGCAGTACCCAAGCAGCATTCTACTCTTTCCCCCCATGCTTAGCAGACTTTGGTGCCAAGGACCTTCCTCTCTTGGCAATCTGCTTCTTATGCTTCTTCTTAGGCACTGGAGATAGCGAATGGTATTGGGACTCAGGCACGGTAGGAGGTGCACTCATTACCGACACCGAGGCATTCAGTGCCGAGTCTCACTGACCTGGCTCAGATGGAGGTCTCAAGGCAGCCTCCATGACCAGAAACTTTAGCATGGCTTCTCAATCATTCTTCATGTGAACCTTAAAGTCTCTGCAAATTTGGCGATGCTCCCCAATATGAGCTTCCCTAGGGCACTTCAAACAACTTGAGTGCAGGTCACTCACGGGCATAGCCTTATTGCAGGAACTTCTGGGCTTGAAGCCCAGTGACCAAGCAACCCCTTTTCACTGGGAATCATCCAAAACCCTCAGATGGGGTAAAAACCGAACTAACTAAACACTAATAACCTTAATGCTGATGCCAGAAGCATGTGGCAGCACAGGGCACTTGAGCCACTGCTACGGGTCCCACCAAGGAAAAAATTTCTGGCAACTGGGCATGGGGTGTGCACACACCAAGAGTGGAATGCACACATGCAATCACTCAAAGAACTGATTTTGCTCAAACTTTTTAAAAAAGTCCTGAACTGAGATAAGGCAAAGAAGGTGTCAGCCCAAACACATGCACTTCTAGTGAGATCCACTGCATATGGGTGTCTGTGCAGGAGTGTGCTTTGTTCATTGTGGGTATGTCCATGATTGGCTTTTCTCCTAAAGTTTCAACTGGGCTAGCAAAGAAAGTTCCCCCAGCAGGCTGACCTCTGTGCATGTCACTGCTCTGTTGCCCCACCCAAGGCAGCAGAACACCACTGGTTTTACTCTGTCTGGGCCTCTGACAGTTAAAGAGACTGGGACAAGGATGTCTATGGCACTTGGGCAACAGCAAATACTTTTGTCCAGTATCCTTATAATTTCCTCCTCTTAAAAAACTAGGACATTAAATACAAAAGATAATGGTGAATTAACCATTATTAAAGAAGTTGCACAATCAAAATCAGAGTCATGAAATGCAGAGGTTAAAGGCAAGCTGTAAAAGGAAAAAAAAACATCAAGGATTTTCTCTGCTTAATTCTGACAGAAATTCAAATGCTGTGTACTCCAGAAGATACTGTTGACTGGAGGCCCAGACCTGATCTAAACACAAGTTAAATCAGTTTATCAACCTTATGATAGTTGGGAGATGTGTGTATCATTAGGAATTCCATTTTTGTTTTGTGAATGAGATTGTAACAGTTCTTGTGGATTAGAGCAGATATTTTGTAGCAGAACCTGGGTCTAGAAAACTGTGACAGAGCCTTCAAGGGACATCAACACTGAACGACTCTCTATTACAGAAAGAATAGGGGTTCTGCTGACAGGGATACTGACTTCGAATGGACTCTGCCTAAAAGCCTGTGGAGAGGAGCGGGTTGGAGCCAGGAAATTTCCCAGTGGAAGTGAATGGGCAAGAGAGTTCAAAGAACGTTTTAAAAGGAGACCGCTCTGTGAAAGGGGACCATCGATGCCATGGCTACCAATATGGGCTGGTCCTTGCTCTCTGGATGGACACAGCTGTTGTGACTGGATTCAACCACTGAATCCCATGCACCTCTAGGCTTGCGGGTATGGATAGTGACTGATCACTGTTCCTAGCTAGGTTTCTCAGGCTTCCTCTGAGATGCAGACTCTGACAGCCTTCTTGGGCAGTGAGACTTTGGAATCAGAGCAACAGCCCACCTAAGCCCCCCGCTGCTTAGACAAGCTCCCCCCAGACTCCAACTTGGCTATGTGAGCTCTGATTTCCTACTTACAACCTTCAGGGACAATGTGGCAGTAAAACAAGTAACTCAGGCACTGCAAAGGAGTTTCTTACACTTTACTCTAACTCTTTTGTGCTTGTTTCAGATCTATGGAAAACAAAACTCCTGAATTCAATCCCGCATCTGACTCACCACTCCCAAGAGTCCTGGGATTGGTCTGAGTCCTTAGGGCTCACCATCCCACTGGCGTTCCTGCTTCTGACAGTGGAGCCGACCCCTTCACAGAGGGTAGCTTCCTTGTAAAACCACCTGTTCCCTCTCTTACTAATGAGCTTCTGTCGGGAAACTTCAAGGCTCCAAAACATACACACATGTGCACACAGCTTCTGGGTAGAAAGTCCTTTCAAGGTCAGTGGCCCTGTTGATAGAACCCCCATTGAACAACTCTCCCATACAGGAACAATGTTGATGTCCCTTGAATGCTCTGTCACAGCTTCCCAGACATAACTCTTGCTACAAAACCTATGCACTAATCCACAAGGACTATAATCATACATGGCATTCACAAAACAAAAATGGAATTCCTAATCCAACAGACACATCCCCCAGACTGTCACAGAGCTCGTGTGTGGGCACTCACTTTAGCTTAAGTTGAGCTAAAGAAATACAAGGCACTCTTAAACAGACTGAAGAGCGTCCACACAAGGAGGTGGCTCTGATCTAACTACAGCAACTTCAAACCCATTTAATTAAGTTGGTGTAAAATGTGTACAGACATGGCCCCAGTAAAACAACATCACAAAAGTGAGAGGAGTGAATGCTGAGTAACTGACAGACTGTTTAGAGTTCTGTTTTTGTTTACACCTATTTAACGCTAACGTCTAATGAAAATTTGGGAGGAAGTCTATGGATAGAGTCAACACCCCTTGTGTTGTGGTTAGAAAGCTAACAATGCACATCTCCTGACAACCTCAAGAAGTCCTCCAGCAAAAAACAGGGAGGAGCAGACATGTCATTTCTGTTATTTCTGAAGAAAATAAGAAAAAAACATTGACAAAAACCTAGACATTTTTTACTTATATGGCTCAAGTATAATGTTTAGAAATCCTTTAACAGTGACCTTTAAGGTTTCTACAGCAGTAATAAGTAACCCACATTACAGACACCTTCTCTAGTATTTTCTATTCTTTTCTGTCTAGCTCAGTATTATGTTTTAGACCATAAAATACAAAACATGCTACATGGCCCAGTTATTACTAGAAATTTATTTTTTGTATCTCTTGATATTGAGATTTTAACTCTGCAACCTGAATGTTGCATTACAATTTTTTGTATGTTATTTATATTACTAAGACAAATCAACTTCTCTAAATTAATATGATCAGTCCCAACAAGCTTCTAGTTATTCTGTCCAGCAATTTCATTTGCCTCAGCTGCCCAAAATGCTTTCATCCAGTGAGGGCAGAGAAAGCATCTGTACTATTTTTAATTGGCACTGAGATCACTGGAGAAGCAAGTAACATTGGATATTATGATCTGTTGTACCTTGTCATGACGTATCAGTAAGGATGTCTTTGATCCCAGTGTGGAAAGGATTCCGGCTATCTCCACAGCAATGTATCCAGCACCAACAACAACGCTGCGCCTGAGGAAAACACTGGAATGCGTTACCTAGGGAGGTGGTGGAATCTCCTTCCTTAGATATTTTTAAGGTCAGGCTTGACAAAGCCCTGGCTGGGATGATTTAGTTGGGGATTGGTCCTGCTTTGAGCAGGGGGTTGATGACCTCCTGAGGTCCCTTCCAACCCTGATCTTCTATGATGCTATGAAAAGCAACAAGATCACACATGCAGCATCGGAGATAACAGAACAGACCTTTGGCACAGGTTCTTACTGCCTGAACGAAAGGACAAGGTATCTCCTGTAATCCAGACATGTCTGGATTCTGGGTCTATTTCACATGCGACTTTGCACCCCACAGCTAGATCTACATTGTATGTTCTTTCCCATGATCTCAGGCTTTAACTCAATGGCCACATATGTTGTAAACCTATTTTATTAACTACATGCTACACGAAAACCAACTCACAAAATGAGCCGTCTTTCACTTCTGTTTTGATGGAGTATTGATATGGTTACCATGACAGTTGTTTTTGGCTCACTTACAAAGCTATGATTTTAAGTCAATTTCCCCCCAACCACATAAAGAAAGACTGAAAAGGAAAGCAAGATGCCATTTAAGGGTCAGGCACAGGTGTGGGGCTGCAGAGTGGTTATGCCAAGCAAAAGCTGGCATCCTCTCTTGGGCAGGCAGGGACACTCTTGTCCATTGACATTGGGTCAGCCAGGAGACCAGGGAGTTGGAGGCAGGGTCAGTGAAACAGGCAAAATAGCAGGATCAGTCAAGGCATCCTCAGACAAGCCACAAGGGACCCTGTACAAGATGGCTGGGCACAAGGCCACTCCAGTGGCTGAGGCTCAGTTGGCCTGCCATCCATTATTTTCTGCTCCAAATGGAGAATCTAAGAAAAGCTAAAGGAAAGGCACAGACATCAACACACAGAACAGGATGCCACGCCCTGGATGGAGTCTCTACAGTTTCATATCTTTCCCTCGTTCATGGGAATGAACCCGTCTCTCAGTCTTCCCATAATCCCAAGGGCACTGTCCATAGGCTTTAAATCATTGCAACCTCCTTCCTGAAGGAAGATTGTCAGCAGGTGGGTTCTGTTGTCACAACACACACTAGGAGGTAGTGGTACATGTACTCACTAGCCAGTATTTTAGTCATTGGGACTATCCTTCTGGGTGTGAAGGTTGCATGGGACTCCAATACGGCTTTAGCAGTAGCTGGAGAGAATGTGACAAAACAGTGCCAAATAAGTTACTCCTGCTTTATCAAGGGTTTAGACCAGTGTGAACTACCATCACTGACTACTAAAGCCTTGCAACCCATTATGACCTGACTACAAGTGACAGGTTTGGGTCGGAAAACCTCCTGCCCATGGGGTCAGCGCAGCAGTGGCTGGGTGCCCTGCTTCTGCCACTCACTGCGCTGGGGAGTGAGTGTGACAATGAGTTGCAATGCCTCTCCACAGCACATGAAAGACAAGAAACAAAGATTCAAAGAGTCCTGTGCTGCCCTAATGTAGTTATTAAAAAAAATTAAAAAAAAAATTAAAAAAAAATCCTGTATTTTAATAAACACAAAGCCAGAGGTCAGAATCACGACTGTCCTGGCCCTTTCTGATCAGGCAGTGTTTTATACCCATTTTGCACAGGAATAAATTACTGCACAATGGGGGGGCAGGGTACAACAAATGGAGTCCCACGTGTTTTGCTTTGAGGAGCATGCTGAAAGCAGCCTAAGATAGCTGATTTTGCTGGTCCTGAGAGTCTATTTTTTGGTTTGCTTACCTGGGCAATTCTTCAAGTTCAAAAAACCCATCACTGGTGATTCCCAAGCTGGCACCTGCAAAGTAAATTTCACACAAACCAGGACATGTTCTCTCCCAGTAACAAAACTCTGCTTTTCTTAGCATTTGTGCATTTCAACACAACGTTGTTTAGTTTAGATTACATTTCTTGCTATTAGCATTTATCAGCTTTACATACAAACTAATCCCAAGCATACAAACATTTGACTCGTTTTTAAAGCTCATTTCCCATCAACAGTGGAAAAGAAAGGGCACTCTTTACTTTGCAAAACTGAGTTTAGGATTGAAAGAAAGTATTATAAGCAGAGTTTGAAAAACTTCCCAAACACCTGCTTGCCCAAAGAGACTATATGCCTAAGCCCACCACAAGAGTCATGTCCCTAAAGCTATTCAAATTTCATTTGCATTGATACATTTTCATTCTCCTCAATCAGTTTGATCACCCCACACAAAAAATCAGCTGAACTCCACTCGTTCCTCCTCAAATCCAATCAATTCTGCTCTCTCTACCCCCTCAAAAACCCCAGTTCTGTTAACCCCAATCAATGCTGTCCCTCAAGGAGTGATTAACTCTGCTCCCTCGTCCCTGTAAGAGTCAGTCAGTACAGTCTTGTCTTCATAGGAAAAAGTGTATTTTAACATGTTAGCTCACACATTGACAGTCCTAGTGTAGTTGTAGTTTTAACAAGGCAAGTTGTAGTTTAACACTAACAGTCATTCTGTGCTAGCTGGTGGAGGTGAACACTAAGATTGTAATGGGTTACCTATCAGGCTTTAAACACACCTTTTTCCTAGGGCAGGCAGGGCCTAAGAGGCTGCTCTATTCCTTGCCAAAATAACCGAGGGTATGTCTACACTCCGAGCTGGGGATGTAATTCCCAGCGTGAGCTGACATACAAGCGCAAGCTTTGATCAAACACACTCACTAAAAATAGAGTGTAGCCGCAGCAGTTTAAGTGTCAGGAGGAGCTAGTCACCCCAAGTACAGACCAGTCCAAGATGCTAAGCACATATTTGGGGTAGCTAGCTCCTCCCACTACTCATGCTACTGTGGCTACACTCTACTTTTAGCACACTAGCTCAACCAGATGCTAGTGCAGCTATGTTTTTTCAAGCTGGAATTTACACGTCTAGCTCAAAGTGTAGACATACTCTTAGAGTTGCCACTGCTGATCTGCTCCCTGTCTTTCCTCCTCCTTGGGTTAAAGAAAGAGCAGTGCAAAAAGCTGTCTCACTGTCTTCAGTTCCCCTCCTTTCCACAGAGGGAGCCAGTAATTCCCCAGCTCCATTCACTCACAAAAAAATCTCTACTGCCTTCAGGCAAGTTGGAGAGTTTGATTTTCAGGCTGTGGTTTTAAGTAACAAAACAGGGAAAGGTAGAGCAGGTACTAAAACCTGACTAATGACCTCTAATTTCTCTCCCCCCTTAAAAAACTAAACCAAAACAACACATTAAGATTATAATGAAAGGGTTTCCAAATATTTTTGTTGAGGACATTCAGAAGGTCTGTAAGGTTTCAAAACTACTAAGATCAATACCAGTTTTGCGTCTTTAAAATATGTAAAGAAGGATTTTCTTTTTCTTTTTTTTTAAACCTTAAAATCAAAAATGTCATTCTGCTGGAGCTTCCTAGAATTCTCAGGGGAGGTATTAAGAGACCACTCACACCTTCAGTGAAGTGGGAAGGGCTTTGAATTTTTAACAAAGACTTCCCCCCTCTCAATTGTTAGTCAGTGAAGTTAAATAAGTGTTAATAAAAAAAAGTTTCAAGCAGGTACTAGAAATCCCTTTGCTCAGCTTTCTACCTCTGGACTCTTGATACTAGCTCTTCAGTTACCATAGAACTATGTCAAGAGTAAAGCCTGCTTGGTGTATGTAGTCCCCTTACTGACACACAGATTGTTCAGAATCTCAGCTTTCATTATTAAGTAGTACATTTTTAGTCCTCATGGGTGCAAAAAATGTTTAAAATGTGAGCAAATGCAGTGAGCTCTGCCTGAGACTACAGGGAGCCTGAAACAAGGGCTGAGAGCTGTGAACTCTCCTGCCATCATTAATCTCATTTGAACATAAACGCTAAAGCCAGAGATGCACTTCACAGACTATTTTGTTGAGGGTCATTCTAACAGCTGAAACCAGAAATAGATTGGGAAAGAAGCTCTCAAAGTGGTGTGAATTAGGAGCTGCTGCCAGGAAGGAAATACCAAGGCAGGAACAGAGGACACCCCCTCAAAGTCAGGGTAAGAAAAGAAACAGACAGGAGGATGGGGAAGGGAGAAAACAAAGGGCAGAAACATCAGGAGTCCTCTCAAAAGGGAGCATATTCTCCACGTAGTGATACTGAATGTGACTGTAAATAATAACTAAGAGTTTAATCACTACATAAAGGGCACACTCTACCTATGATCTTTGTGCAACTCTCTCATTGACCTCAGTAGGAGATCCATTGTGGATTAAAAGGAGTATGTGGTTATAAATTCAGACCCAGTCCATGGCCCATAATTCAAAATGTAATTTGGAACTCTCCACCAAATGGGACACCCCTGCCACAGAGCCTTCCAGCCTACTCAGGATCCAATTTTTCTAACAAGCAGGGCAAAAAACCCTTTAGCTTTCAGACCTTTCTGTATTATAAACAGGCAAAAGCGCTCCCTGTCACTCCGAGCACCCTTTGCAGGTATGTCCACCTTCAGCCTGCTAAGTCTGGAACAGTCTCTCTTATTTCCACAGTCATAACAAACCAGAATGCTCTCCATAAAAAATGCAAAGTGATAAAAGTCTCAGATAGCAAAGTTCAACATCCATGTTGAACCAAATGTGACTTCTGTGCTGACCTACAATGTTGCATCAGTTCCTTCCTATTTTGTGGAAAGGTATTTTCAGTAAAAGCAGAAGTGTTTAAAGGAGAACAAGCTGCGCAAGACCCTACATTTAGTGTCTGACATTCAGTGGCATGCATATTAAACAGATTAGCAGTTTTGAACAGGCAGATACAATTTGGCTTAAGGGAAAATTGGCAAACATGGCATCTGTCCAAGTTGCTTGTGGAGGAGCTGCAAGCACACCTTACAAACCTTAACTGATGAACCAGACATCCTGACCTGGAACCTCATCCAAAGCTCACTGAAGTCAGTGGGAATCTTTCCACTGACTCCAGAAGGCTTTGGATCAGATCTCTTTCTATGTAGGCCAGAATTCCATTCAGAAGAGGCAGGGAAACGTAGAATGCTGAGAACAAATGTACTTTCTAAGGTTACAATCTCTATAGACCACTGAGAGCCAGAGACACTAGAGTGTACTGGAGCTACACTATTTGCACTGGAAAAATAGGAAGTCCTGTTGTAACTCAAATGAAATCTCCTCCCACAGGAGTACTTACATGCCATGATGTTGATCACGTTACTCAAAGACTTACCAGGGATTTCACTGTCATGGGGCACTGATGGTCGCCCACCTGTAGCTATCAGGATGTGGGGAGCAGTGTATTTTTTACCACTGACTTCTACCGTAGGCTCAGGATCAGATGTAAAAGCTGCATGGCCATGAATGGTTTCTATGTGAGCCTACAAAAACAAATTTTAGATTGTACTGTCATTCTATAAATCACAAAACTGGATGCTAGAGAAAGAATGAACCTTTCCTAATTATCAAAGCAGAAGACAAAATTATTAGGGCAGAAAAGTAGTAAGACAACTCTCTGATTCAGCATTTCAACTTCTGAAAAGTGCTACCAATGGCCCACATTTTCAAAAATGATTAGTGATTTTGGGTGCCCACTCCAGAAAATGCTCAGAAACCACCCTCTAAAAAACAGGCCCCTTTACGATATCTCACGTGGGCACCTAAAATCATGAGTCAGTTTGAAAATGTAGGCCTATGCTCATCTAGTAATCTGAAATGTTTGTAAATATAATGGAAGCCTTCAACCTGCATCAGAAGCCACTGTATGTTCTGGAGAGCTAATGAAGATTAAACTCCAGCCAACTAAAACATGACTAAGCTGGTAAGAAACGGTTACTTACTGTAACTGTGGTTCTTTGAGATGTGATCCAGACAGGTATTCCACGTCAGGTACGCATGCACACCAGGTGCACCATAGCTGGAGAGTTTTGCCTAGCAGTACCAGTAGAGGGACAGTGCTCATGCCTTGTGGCCAAAACCCCTCCCCTGGCTAGATGAGGCAGTGCCACACCAACCCCCCCCCCACCACCACCACCACCCCCAAGTTCCTTTGCACTAACTCCCAGAGACTAGACTCTGATGCAAAGGGACAGAGGGTGGGTTGTGGAACACAGGTCTGCATCACATCTAAAAAAATAAATAATCAGTTACAGTAAATAACCGTTTCTTCTTCAAGTCGATGCAGCCCTGTATTCTACTTAGGTGACTCACAAGCAGCACTCACTGGAGATGGGGCTTGGAGTCTATTTAAACAAGGACTGCAGGACTGTCTTCCCAAAGCTTGCATCTTCTCTGGATGCTGCAGTAATGGCATAATGGTTCATACACGTACATATCGATGACTATCTGACAGCTCTGCAAATATCCATATTGAGAGGTCACTTAAGAACGCTATTGATGTAGCTTTCCTCGTAGAATGAGCTCGCACACACAGACGGGGCCTACCCAAAACTGTTTCGTATTCTATCTTGATGCAGAAAGTTATCCACTTAAGAGACATCTGTGAGGAGACTGCCTGTCTCTTCACAGTCTGCATACAACACAAACAGATGCGGCAAAGCACAAAAAGGTTTAGATAAAAGGCTAGACATCATCTGATGTCTAACATGTGAAGATGCTGCCCCTGTGGAGATGAGCACGGCTTAGGAACAAAAACACAGGCAAACATACCGCCTATTTAAACAAAACCAAGACACCACTTTAGACGCAAATGTTGGGTGCGGTGGCGATGTCCCTTTTTCTTTGGGGAATTGCACATCAGGAGGCTCTGCCTCAAAGACTGCAGCTCACACATTCCCCTTGCAGATATCATTGCTATGAAGAATGCAGGTTTTTGTCAGAGAGGAAAGAGGCAGGATGCCAGAGGATTGAATGAAGGTCTCAGCAGAACCGCTAAGACTGTGCTAAGGTCCTATAAGGGAACCAGATCCTTCACTGGCAGATGGAGACGAAGGATTTCTTTTAAGAATCTAGACATCAAGCACTGGAAAACACCCATCTTCCACGAATGGGTGGATGAAAGTCACTAGATACTCCCTCAATAAGCTAACTGGAAGGCCCAACAGCTGAAGATGCAGCAAACACTCCAAGATAGCCAGGATTAGCTGAACTCCACAGGCCAATGACCACATTGTCAAAGTGGAAAGGTTTTTCTAACTGGCCATCTTGGTAGATGGTCTTCTATACTGAGTAGGACCTGTCGAACAGCCGACAAACATCGCTCTTCCTCTTCATTTAACCACGAAGCAGCCAAGCAATGAGATATATGGAGCTGAGCGCAGGATGCAAATGTGATTCTGTGAGAGTAGGTCAGACTGGAGAGGAAAGCATATGGGAGGCCAAATCAACAGTGCAAGAAGGTCAGAAAACCAACACTGCCTCGGACTTGACAATGCAATGAGGATGACGTTGGCCTGATCTGCTTTCAGCTCGAGGATGACCTGGGGAATGATCAGCGTCAGAGAAAAAGCATATAGGAGAGTTGACTGCCAGCTGATGTGGAAGGCATCAGTCAGGGAACCTGGACTGAGGCCCCCTCAAGTGCAGAATAGACTGCATTTCCTGTTGTCCCTTGTAGCGAACAGGTTGATCATTGGCATGCCCCAAGCAGCAAAGATGACTTGCAGAACATGGATTTCACCGACCACTTATGACTCAGGGAAAAATTCCTCCCAAGCCGGTCCATGAGATGATTCTAGATCCCGGGCAACTGACTGGCTATCGGAGTGATATTCTCTTCAATGCAGAACTGCCATAGCCTGATCACCTCTTGGCAAAGCACCCTGGAGTGTGCTCACCCTTGTCTGTTCACATAATACACCAGAATGCTATTGTCGTAAGTATGTGAACCATTGAACCTTTGATGCAGTCGATGAAAACGTGACCATCCATGTAGGTGGCCCAAAGCTCCAGGACACTGTTATGCAGCGAAGCTTCCTGCTCCGACTGACCACAGACCCTGAACCTTCAGCAACCCCAGACGCTCTCCCCAACCTACCAGGGAGGCATTGGTGACAACAGTCCTGGTTGGTAAGGGCCGGGCAAAGGGAATGCCATGACATACATTCCCCTGATCCATCTACCAGAGCAAGAAGTCCAGGGTCAATGGAGGGAGGCAGACCAACCTGTCTAAGGGATGAAGGGCCAGATGGTAAACTGTTCTGGGCCACATTTGAAGAGGGTGCAGGCATTGAAGAGGGCAATTTGTACATTGAACCACCTGTGTGCATGTGGACATCTGGCCCAAATACCTCAGACACAAGAATTGTCATGGAAGGTTGAGACTGCAGCCTGAGACAAAGGTGATAAAGTGTCTGGAAAAAGTCAGTCTATAAAACTACTCTTGAACTCAGACTCTAAGATCCCAGTGAATTCAATTTTCCAAGTAGAGACCAATGTTGACTTTCTGGTGTTTAGTATGAGACCCAGACAGTTGAGTAAGTGCAGTGTGATCCACACATGAGAAAGAACTTCTTCTCTGGACCTGCCCCTTAGTAGCCAGTCATCCGGAGGTATGCCATCACCACAACCACACATTTGGTAAACACCCAGGGAATGGAAGACAGACCAAAAGGAAGGGACATGTACTGAAAATGATGGTTAGCCATGACAAACCAGAGAAGTCTTCTGTGGCTTGGGGCAGAGCAGCACCGCCTCATACACCCAGGGAAGGGGCTGTGGCCACGAGGCATGAGCACACCCCTCTACGGATACTTCTAGGCAAAATTCTCTGGGTTCAGTGCACTTGGCATGCACAAACACCTAAGTAGAATACATGGCCGCATCTACTCGCAGTAGTGTGCACCACCACCTTACCCTGACTGAGGGAAGAGGAGGAAAAAATGGCTTTCACTATTTAATAAAGTGGGAATCATTCTTAAAACCACAGAAATGTGCTTTGACACAGGAGAAGGGTTTTTATAACTTTTGGAAATGGAACCTGCACTGACCAAAGATAAAAAAAAAACAAGCCAAACTCTCTTGGAAACACTTCCATAGGTTCTGGGAAAATATGACAGTTTACAGGGGCATAGAAGAGGCTCTGTAATTTTACGATTTGTTACTCGTATATGAACCAAAATTTACAAACCTTGTTTAAGTTATTTTGATAGATCCCATTTAGGCGACTCACATAAGCATCACGCTTTTCTTTAATCACTCTGCAATAAAATGTAGTCACTGTCACTATATAAGCTTTTTTCTCACTGCTAATAAGAATACACAGCAAAAAAATGGAGGCTAGCTTTAAAATCCAACCTCATTAGATATGCAAACACATAAAGGTCATCAGACAAAGTCAATGAAAACACTGCAGGGATATGGAAGGTGACAGGGAAGTGGGATTCAGGGGCATGGAGCACATGAAACAAACCACTATATAGCTGGTTATGTCTTTAATGACAAGAGATTTTCTTGAGCAAGGCCCAGAGCTTGCTGGCAGCTGACTTCCCATCCTGTATGGCACTGGCAATGCTGGCTCAGGGGCTCAGGCATTCCACACTGGCTATGAGGGACATGGAACCAAACTGCAAGCAACTGAGTAAGCCTTGTTCCTCCCCCAGTGCACCTAGGGCATTAAGTGGACATGGTCGCAGCAAGAGAACTGGTTATACATGGTAGCAACAAGAGAACTGCTTATACATAAAGAAAATACAATATTTACATAAAATGTATTGTGCTTTAAAAGGATACATGTAAACAAGATTTTGCCACCTGGAATACTGAATCTTAGACTTACCGCCAATTAAACTTCACATCAGGGGTTTCAAAGCCATAATCGGCATGATCATGGATGAATTCAAAGTGGACAGCTGTGTTCCACATCACCTGTCACAGAGGTAAAGAGAACAGTAATTCAACACAGCATGAATGAAAAAAGCATCAATTGTGTCTAGTAATTCAAGATGGATTAGGTGGAACAACTCAGTTCCATACATTACTATTTTAAATAGGCATTGTTTTATAAATAAGGGCAATGTTAGGCCTTAAAGACCCCAAAGCCATGCAGCAGGAAGCTCCTGGAGGCTTTGTGTATGAGGCTGGCACAGTCTGCTCTGCAGGAGCAGGGCCACCACTGCACATGCACTTGCCCTGTTTAGGCCTACCTCTGCTTGCTGGTACAGAGGTGGGAGAGTTCCTAGGCCTAATCCTTCTCTTTGGGGAGACTTGCACTACTATTTGAACAGCCTTGTGTTCACCTTGACTGTAAAGAGTCAATTGTGCCTGGCCTCTGTGCAGGGGCATGAGGGAAGGAGGCTCCTGGCACTATACTCCACCCTTTGTGCGCTCACACAGAGCTACACAATCTAATCCACAAAGATTTGGAGGGGATTGGGGAGAAGAAGTCTCATATCTAAGGCCCTTCTTAATTTGTGATATTGTGGATCCTGCGATATTAGGCTTCCACTGCAATTTGGCGGTGGGAGCCCCCGCTCTCAGCCCTGGGCGGCCGACAGCGGGAGCCCCCGCTGCCAACCCTTTGCCAAATTACCGCAAGTAATGTCATTACTTTTCCACAATTTCCCATGGATTGTCCGCAACTCAGCTACTTGAATCTTGTGATTCAAGTAGAGCCTTACTCATATCTGTAGCACTTAGTTTATACACATAGTAGCGTACGGAAAAGTGGCCTTTTTTGATGTGTATCTCTTCATTTCTCATCAGACTTGAAATAGTACCATAGGAAAATAGTAGGTGCTCTATCTTGCATTTGCATGATCAGTTCATCCCAAAGGGCGCAAACTTAACTAAAAGCAGTGCATGTGATTCTGAAGTCCAGAGCAATCTGTTCATATGCTTTTTGAAGCACTGCTCATGATGGCCTGTTCTGAATTAATCATTCACAAAACGCTTTTGTGAGACTAAGGAAAATACTAAAACAACAAAGTCTGCTCACAGATACCCTGGTGTAACCTGCATCCATGGGCCCAAGAGCACAATTTGTCCTTTGGATATTCATTTTACCTAGAAACAGTCTAACCAGCCTACTCAGCCTTAGGCAAAAAAGCAAAGTAAGGATTGTAGAGTGGAGTATTTTTGCAAGGGCCCCTAACTGTAGCTGCACCCTATTAAGTTTATCTACTCTCCCAGCAACATCTGTGTTGTGAAGAATCGGATGCAGATACATTCATTTCAACACAAAGACAATATGAAAGAAGAAAAAAAAATCTACCTTTTTTGGTACACATCCAACATTCACCTAAGAGAGAAGAATATTAAGTCTACATGTGACATTATGATCATAAAACAATACTTAGAAAATGGTAAGTCCACTAACTAAAGCTTCCCAAAATTGATGCCAATTCTGCACCTTTCTCCCACCCCCTACAATGCAGAAATATCAAAGTCATTTTGAGTTGGGCAAAGAGACATTCATGTTTGACACTTTAGTTTCTATAACCAAATTCAGAGGTTCCAATCCCACAAGGCTAACTCAGCCCTTCACCCTTCTAAGGTAGGTTAAAAACATGTACCGTGCCCATTTTAAATCTGTTGCCTTTCAATGGATTCATAACAGGATTTCCTGTCTGCTCAGCATGGATAATAAAGATTGCATAGCACTTTTTAAAAAGGAATACAAACATAGCTCAGTGTCCTCAGCTAATACCTCCCCTCTCCCCACTACTGTGTAACTTTTGAGGGAGTGGCCATGTGATCAGAGCACACAACTGGAAGCCAGCTTTGAGTTCTAATCTCAGCTATCATTAGCTTTTTCAGTGAACCCCTTTTGTGGCTCAGTTTCTCCAACTGTTAAAAATGTAACTATGCTAATAGTGCTCTGATGTCTGTCAAATGACAGGGTCAGCTTTTATGGGTTCACAACCTTCTGACCTTGAAACAAATTCATATTGAACACAATGCTAGTGAACCCACAAACACATCTTTGGGTTGATAAGCACTTGTACCCAGAGCAATATACCCAGGTCCCAGTCTGAGAGCCTAAAACTGCAAGATCCCACCTTGAGACAAAGGCAAGATGCCAAACAACTGAGGGGGTGCACTCAGAGACCAGAAAGGGGGCAGAGTTGCCTCAAACCAAGATACTTACCAAACAGACCTGTTTAAACCAATCACCGTGAAGCCAGTCCCTTCTTTTACTTTCAGATTTATGCAATACTAGTTTGTTCACTCCTCAAAGTAGTAGTATTTCCTGTTTTAACTAGCTGGCAAGTGACATAAAATTCACCCTGACCTTATTTTTAGGAGTGGCAGAGGTATAGGAAATACTAGGAGCTCACAGGAGATTAAATGAGGATTTTTCCTTCCAGTTAGTGGCCCTATTATACAAATTTATTCATACTTTTCATTAAAAGTTTTCTTCCTAAAGAGCTTCATCAAAACTTTACAACCTTTTTCCTGTCAATAGGCAAGCTAGTACACCTACATTGCACAGATCCACCACCCTGGCTGTCTCAAGGAAAGGTACTTCAAAATACTTAAACACTTTTTCAGGAGACTCTGAAAATAGATGTCTATTAAAATGCCTGCAGTTGCACCAAAACACAGCTCTGTACTCTGCTATATTCCCTTCCTCTCTACTCTTTGCTTTTTCTAGCACAAGAAAATTTTGTTTTTTTTTAAGTGTACCATTTTATCTGAAAAACACAAATCCTCTATTTTATCTAGCTGTGAACCAGATCCTCAGCTGGTATACACTGACTACACCAATTACTTCAATGAACAATCTGACCCTGTAAGTCAGAAATAAACTGATACTAACTAGCATTGTTTTAATACCAACTTCTGGAGAAACCTGAATCTGGTAAATAGCTTTCACAACACACTGTAGCATCATCATCTTCTGTGTAAAAAGCTCTATTTCAGGCCTTGCTTCTGTTCTTAGAAAGATCAGCAAATCTCTCAACTGTATGCTGATTTTACAAGATACCCATCTTAAAGTATCTCAGAGAGAGAAAAAAATCAGAGCCTATTTTTTTCTTTAAAATCCTACATTGTCTAATTAACTGGGGCAGCAGAGCAGAGAACATTGCTCATTTGGAATTCTGTGCAAACTAAGCTGCTGGAAAGGCTTCTGTTGTGTTCTGAATACACATATATAACTTTAAAATTGGTTGTAAGATATTTGATGCTGCTAATGTCTCCTATGTGTGGAGAAGATAGCACAGCAGAACACTGATCCTACCTGAGGCCTCTACAGTCTTGGTCCCACAACAATAAATATTATTAAAAAAAACATCAGCACCACACACACACACACAATGGGGGTGGGGAATTCCTGGTCTTTCCTGACTCTTGTCAGTTTGTTTTTTCTAAACACTCCCTCCTTCCTAAAAGAAATAAAGAGGGTAATAGGCAGCTGAATATGCAGCTGATTTGGAAAAAGTCTGACCTGGATGGGCCCCATCCCCTTATAGGCATGTAAGGAATAATGACTATTGTGAAAATTCAGTAATACAGAACACCCACAAAGCCAGTTGTCCTCATGAAGAAAGATGTGTGACCAATCTGAGTTGTGCAACACCTGACAACACTGCTTTGTCGATGTGCTGGCATTTTCTCCGTTTGTGACAGTCATTGCAGTTAAATAAAAGGATTCAAACAAAGAGCTCAGAGCCTAGCAGGTACCGGCACCACTAAACTGATGCCCACGGAGCAAGGCTGGCATTCTCCTGTCAATCACTGCACACAAACCAGACCTGTTCTTGGAAGCTCACCACCCTTCTAAAAGGCTAAACGAGTTCTGGAAAGAAAACCCTCAATTGGCCCAGAGATCTGCCCCAGGATTACTCATTAGAGCCCCTCTCTGCAGCATGTCTTCACCCCCACCTGCCTAAGCCACATCCATCCACACACCTCAGACCCTCCAGCCACGTCCATACACACATATCCACGCCCCCAGCCATGTTCATCCATCTACACACACACCCCATCCCCAGCCACATCCATCCCCCCATCCCCCGCACCCTCCAGCCACATCCATCCCCCCATCCCCATTCACCCATCTACACACACACACCCCATCCCCATCCATCCACACACCCAGCCCCCTCACCTCCCCCCCCACCCCGCTCCCAGCCACATCCACCCACACCCCTGCCCCCTCACTGCCCCCAACCCAAAGCCCCTCACCCCAGCCACATCCATCCCCCCAAACACAGTCACCCATCTACACACGCACCCCCCATCCCCAGCCACATCCATCCACACATATCCACGCCCCCAGCCACGTTCATCCATCTACACACACACCCCATCCCCAGCCACATCCATCCACACATCCAGCCCCCTCACCGCCCCCAACCCAAAGCCCCTCACCCCAGCCACATCCATCCCCCCAAACACAGTCACCCATCTACTCCCCCCACCCCACCCCCAGCCACATCCATCCACACCCCTGCCCCCTCACTGCCCCCAACCCAAAGCCCCTCACCCCAGCCACATCCACCCATACACCCAGCCCCCTCACCTCCCCCCCACCCCGCTCCCAGCCACATCCACCCACACACCCAGCCCCCCACCCTGCTCCCAGAGCCCCCCATGCCCCAACCTCCTCACCCCGCTCCCAGCCCCCCAACCCTGCCCCACCCATACACCCAGCCCCCTCACCTCCCCCCCACCCCGCTCCCAGCCACATCCACCCACACACCCAGCCCCCCACCACACCCTCCCACCCTGCTCCCAGAGCCCCCCATGCCCCAACCTCCTCACCCCGCTCCCAGCCCCCCCAACCCTGCCCCACCCATACACCCAGCCCCCTCACCTCCCCCCACCCCGCTCCCAGCCACATCCACCCACACACCCAGCCCCCCACCACACCCTCCCACCCTGCTCCCAGAGCCCCCCATGCCCCAACCTCCTCACCCCGCTCCCAGCCCCCCCAACCCTGCCCCACCCATACACCCAGCCCCCTCAGCTCCCCCCCGACCCCGGTCCCAGCGCGCGCCACAACCCCCCCCCCGCACTCACGCAGGTGCCCCCCAGGCGCTGATGCTCCACCACAGCCACGCGGGCCCCGAGCTCGGCCGCGCGCCGCGCGCTCGCCAGCCCGCCCGAGCCGCCCCCCAGCACCAGATAGTCGAAGGCGGCGGCCATGGCTCGAGGCGGCAGCGAGCACAGCGCGCACATTGAGCTGGGGCGGCGGGGGGGGGGGGGGGGGGGGGAACTGCTGAGTCACGGTGACAGGGCGGGGGCATGGGCTGGCAGGGGGCGGGGCTTGGGCGGGCTCCGTGCTCAGGGAGAGGAGGGGCGGGGCTCCGAGGGAAGGGGCGGGGCGGGCTCAGGTGGGGGCGGGGCTCCTGCGGAAGGGGGCTCGGAGCCGGGCTCAGGGCCATTGATCGCACCGGCGGGGGGAGGGGCGGGGTTTCAGCCCCATAGGCTCAGGCCCTGCTTCTAAAGAGTCTCTCAGAGCAACCCCCTTCTCGTGCCACAGCCCCCAGGCACCCTCCTTTTTAAGGGTAACTCACGTCGCCCCCGGGCCGCCTCCCCGCACGCCTGCTTCGCACCCTGGGCTCGGCTGGGGGGCGCCAGGCGAGCTCAGCACCCAGCAGAGGCCTGTGCCCGCCCCAGGGACTCGTACAGCCCGGCACGGGTGTGGACGTGCAGAGATACCCCGGCAGCCGTTTCAGGGGAGAGTAGGATGTATTAGTCAGCTGGAACACGGCAGGGGCAGGCCTTGGGTTTGCACAGAAAAATAAAGGTTAAAGCATAGTGCATGGCGGTCAAGCCGGAGCAGCTCACCCGCCAGGCTGTATTGAACTCCACTTTCAGGCTCTGGCTCTCTGACATTTTTTAAGCAGTCCCAGTGGAGCAGTACCCGCTTCTCACAGAAACCCACACGCCCCGCACCTTGAGCTAGGGGGTCTCGGCTCAGCTTCCCAGCTGAGAGGCAAGGAAATCCTCCTCCCACGGGGTCATTGGTTGGTAGGTGTCATTGTCAATGTTCTGGTGATGGAGGTTGTCCCTTGTCTTCTCACATTTTCCATTCATGTGGGTCAACCTCAGCTAGTCTTTTCAATGACCCATTCAGCCCGCTCAGACAACTAGGGGACAATCACACATCTATAAAAAGAAAAGGAGTACTTGTGGCACCTTAGAGACTAACCAATTTATTTGAGCATGAGCTTTCGTGAGCTACAGCTCACTTCATCTGATGAAGTGAGCTGTAGCTCACGAAAGCTCATGCTCAAATAAATTGGTTAGTCTCTAAGGTGCCACAAGTACTCCTTTTCTTTTTGCGAATACAGACTAACACGGCTGTTCCTCTGAAACCATCACACATCTATGTCACTTACTCTGCCCTGAGGGCAAACAATCCTGTTTCCTCCACTGGGTAGCAATGCAAAGTATAGGGGGGAAACTGAGGCACACATAGGAGTAATAAAAATATTACAAATTCTCACTTTGTGACAGGGCAATTTGTCATTGATCTTCACAGGGGGCAGGGCGGGGGATTCTCCACTGATCTCAATAGGGGGATGTGATAAAGTGGGTTTTTCTTGATATTTTAATGAAGCAAGTGTACCTCACTTTCCCTGTCTACTTTACATTGCTACCCAGTTGAGGGGGGGGATTAAGTCTGCACTCAGGGTAGCTCAGCATATGAGGTGTGGGTGTCACCTTCCTGTCTGGGGTGCAATGAATGGGACGTTATGGAAGTGGCTGGAACCCGTTGAAAGTGACCCCATATGAATGCAGAATCCAAATGATACAATAGGAAGCCCCAATGAGTAACCAATGACCAAGAGGAAGGTTTTCCCCCAACCTCTAAGTAGGGAAGCTGAGCAGAGAGCAGCTTGAGCACAAAAGGACTGAGATGTGACAGGCAGAAGATAAAGTGTGAGGTCTTGTCTACACTTGAAACACAACAGTGGCACAGCATTTCAGTGTTGGCACTATCTACACCAATGGGAGGAGTTCTCCCATCACTACAGGCAATCAACCTCCCTGAGAGGTGGTAGCTAGGTTGACGAAATAATTTTACAGCAGGGGTTACGTCAACTTAACTACATCATTTCGGGTGTGGATTTTTCATGCCTCTGAGCAACATAGCTGGGTCAAGCTAAATTTTAAACATAGACCAGGCCTGATCTTCTGGACAAGGTTGGCTCCCTCACCTGGGACTGACAAAGGGGATCAGAGAGACACAGAGATTAAAAATAGAGTTCACTACCACTTGCGTGGTGGATTGCTCTGGCTTGACTAGATGGACTATGTCTTAACCTTTTTTCCCCTCTATGCTAACCTAAGGACTTCTGATGTTGTGTACCAGTTGACTAATAAACCCTATTCTTTTTAAAACACTGCCTGGTATCACTGCAAATAGATGCAGAGGTGCGGTAGTCCCTGAAGAGTGTAAAAGTCTCTAACTAGAAGATTGGACTCAGCAAGCAGAGCTCATATTGTAGTAGTAGGATTTTTGTTTGTATTTTGGATAATTTAGAATGAAGGATATAGTAACGTAGCATGTCTTAAATGTATTGATGTAGGATTTGACCATATCCTGCCAGCCACGTTGTCCACCCCTGCCATAGCAGAAAGGAATGGCCTAAGGCAGGGGTGGACAACGTGAGCCTGAGAAGGAGCCAGAATTTACCAATGTACATTGCCAAAGAGCCACAGTAATAGGTCAGCAGCCCCCCATCAGCTCCCTTGCCCCTGCTGCCAGGGCCTCCTGCCCACCAGCAGCCCTGCCAATCAGCACCTCCCCCTTCCCCCTGATCAGCTATTTTGTGGCATACAGGAGGCTCTGGTGGTGGTGGTGGGGGAGCGAGGGCACAGCAAACTCAGGGAGGAGATGGGAAGGGGTGAAGTGGGAGCAGAGCCAGGGGTTGAGGAGTGAGCACACACCCCCGCCCCCCAGCACATTGGAAAGTTGGTGCCTGTAGCTCCAGCCCCAGAGTCGGTGCCTATACAAGGAGCCGCATATTAACTTCTGAAGAGCTGCATGTGGCTCCAGAGCCACAGGTTGGCCACCCATAGCCTAAGGGGCCATTGGAAAAAACGCATCAGAGAGGCTGCCTGTGTCTGAACTGATGTTAAGGGAGGAACAGACCAGAACAGTCCTTATGGCTGATTATGGTCACCTTTTGTTTTAGTATAAGTTTTTCTTACAGTATTTGCTATAACGTCTTGTTTCTTATCTGCATTGCAAACGAAGTTGTGTAAGGTTCTTTTGTAATCCCTTTAGTAACCATATAACCCTTTCTAAAATGTAATCCTGTCTGAAATTCTCTGTAAAATTGTTAGGTGTGAGTAAAGGATGTGTGCATGGTTAAGGATGAGTGTAAACACCATCACAAATGTCCAGATGGTCAAGAAGAAGTGAGACTTGGAGAGACAGCAGGAAACAATCAGAAAACATCCATTGTATCTGATGCTAAACGAGTTAGCAGCATTGACAACCTCCGACGTGAGGCAAACGTCCCAACAGGCAAGACAACAAAGAAGAGATAACCCCAAGATTAACATCACTTAAGGACTAACGATTACAAAATGACTGGTAACTGTAAGACCATCTCCAGTACGTACATACGTATGTACGTGTGTGTGTGAATGCATATGCTAACTTGTATTTTCAATAAATGCAGCGTATTGCCTTTTCCCTTGAAAAAGATCCCGTGTGCTTCTTATAAGAATAATAATATGTGTGAAGCAGGAAGCTGGAGCTGGTGAGGCTGCGTGGCCAACCATGAAGGAAGAGTGAGACCCCTTATGGAGGAGCGGGTTTCAGAGTTGAGTTCAGCATTGAAGAAAGTACAACAGAGCCAAACACAGCATCAGAACTGAGCACATTTCTTGTTTCTGGCTGTGGAAAACAGGTCTATCCAAAGGGTACCCTATTACCAAAATATACGGTGAATGGAATCTATTTTTCATTTGTGGTCATGAGAGAAGTGCCTACTGAGTGTACTCATGGTCAGATTCTGAGCATCCGGAAGATAAGCTGCTGTGATGACTGATTGCATATGCACCAATTCCAAACATTGACAGCTTTGGCAAAAAGTGGAGAGATCTTGGCCCTTGTCACTTGATATAGAACATTCATGACATGTTGTCCGTCATGACTTATATGTTTGCCCCGATCAATGGTAGAAATTGGTCACGCATATATGACTGTGCTAAGTTCTAGAATGTTGAATAGAGTGACATCATGAGATGTCCGCCTGCCTTGGGCCATGTGCGTGTCCAAATGTGCTCCCCAACGTAGCAGGGAAGCATCCACCATAACAACAACGGTCAGGGAACGGCATGCGAGAAGGACTCTTGAGCAGGTGTGTTGGTATTTACACCAATTGAGAGATTCCTTCACAAAGGAAGGTATGGAAAGTAATTTGGTTAGTTTGTGTCTGCTCAGTGTACAAACAGTCCTGAGCCACCCTTGAAGGCAATGCATTCTCAGTCTTGCATGTTCTATAAGCAAAAGTGCCAGCTACCACATGTCCCAACAGCTGAAGACAATTCTTGACCAGGGAACGTGGATTGATCTGGATTGTGTTTATGATGTTGGATAAGGATACCAATCTGTCCACGGAGAGGTAGACTCTTGCTGCTACTGAACAGAGATAAGTTACTATGAATTCTACCTTTGTACAGGAGTCAGGGTGGATTTTTGAAAGTTTAATTGTAGGCCAAGTTCGAGGTTGAGGTCTATAGTCTTGCAAGTGGCCAGTAAAGTTTCATCGTAGGAGCAACTTTTCAGAAAACCAATCATCTAGGTAAGGGAACACCAGAATTCCTTTTCTGTGGAGGGGTGCTGCTGTTACTGACATAACCTTTGAAAAGACCCTTGGGGCAGATGAGAGGCCTAACTAGAGTACCCTGTACTGAAAGTGGTCCTAACCAACAGTAAAACACAGGAACCTTTTGTGATATAGGTGGATTGGATTGGTAATATGCATTTTCAAGGTTAAGTACTGAGAACCAAGGCCCTTCGTCCAGTGATGGAATTATTGCTGCAGGTATCAGCTCTTCAAATTTTTGTGCCTTCACAAAGGTGTTGAGTAATCTTTGTCTAAGATGGGTCTCCAACTGCTGTTCTTTTTTGGAACCAAGAAGTACCTGGAATAAAAACCCTTCCCTTCGTGCTGCATGGGAATAGGTTCTATAGCACCCAAGAGTATGAGACAGTATGTCTCATCTTAGAA